AGAAACCTTGGGAGATATTTATGCGAAAACGCACACACACATACATTGCACACACATGTATGGTTGGTATAGGCTTTGAAAGATATTACCTTGAAATTATTGTTTTGTTTTCTCATCTTCAAAGACTTTATCTCTTCATGCAGTTTAGCTGTGCGGCCACCAGGGGGTAGAAGGATGCCATTGATTGTATTGTGAAGTGTAAGCCTCGAAGTCTGTGCTGTCCCTGAGATTCAAAATGATGGTTCTCCGCTCATTTTGACCCCCTACCCAAGATATACAGTCACATATATCCAGCTTTTTCTAGAAAACGAATGCCTTTGCTAAACTATTTAAAATATGTCAAACTTTAAACTCATCACACTGGAACCACATTTCCCAGGCCCCTGAAAAACAGCAGCAGTCTCCGGTTTGTAGGAACTCTTTTTCAGAGAAATCACCAGAATTCCAATTCCTTCTGTGTTTTTTAAGTTCTCTCAGCTGTGTCCCATTTGGATTCCTCAGTGGCCCTTCCAAGGCCTCTTTTGCCTAACTTCCCAAGACTCATTCTCCTTCGCTAGTCTCTTTCCACACGCAACATGGGGTTAGGTCAGTAATTCATGCAGTAAATATTTACTTTGTATTCATTGTGTGCCAAAACAATCCCAGACTCTCAGGAAACTAAAACTTTTCTGTCCTAGAGCTTACATTCTAGTGAAAAGGCAGACAATAAACAAATATGTTCAGATGATAATAAGTGCTATAGAGAAGTAATAGTAAGAAATAATGCGGAAGAGGGAGATTGGGAGTTATTCAAGGAGGGGATGGTGGCAGGCCTGATATTTTAGATGGTACTGTCAGAGCATATTTCTCTAATAAAGATGGCATTTCAGCTGTGACCTGAAGGAGGTGAGAGAGCAAGCCACGTATTTCAGGAAGTTGGAGAGGGGGCACAAATGTAAAGATCTTAAGGTGGCACTAGTCTCAGTATGTCTGAGGGGCAGCAAGGTGGCCAGTGTAGCTGAAGCTCAGTGAGAAATGGAGAGAATGATGGGAAATAAGATCAAATAGGTGACAAGGAATCTGATCTTGTAGGACCGTCTCTGTGAGATGATGCAGCTCTGACAATTTTGAACAGAGGATTGACATGGTCACTGTGGCTGTAGTAAGAAGTGTGGGAGAAGGGATCATATTCTGGAAAGGGCTTGAAGGGAAAGTTGACAGCATTTACTAATGAATTGTGTGTGGTAAGTGTAAGAAAGAAGAGTCAGGGGTAGGCTAAATATTTGGCCTAAGCAAATGGAGTTTCTATTTACCGCGACAGGAAAGACTGGGGGACAGGCAGTGAAGTAAAAAAGAAAACTAGAAGAGTGTGTGTGCCGTCCTGAAAGCCAGGTGAAGAAAGTTTTGCAAGGAGGAGAGAGTTATCATCTGTGTCCTACACTAATGTGGTGGATGGCATCCCTTCTGGCTGTGGCTGTCGCTACAGGTGTTACCTGCCTCACAGTCTCACTGACATTGGTGTGCTTTTCTGCCACGTCAGATACTTGCTGGATTGGGAAATGGTCCTCAAGTGTTAGAGACAATTCCACATGACCTCAAAACACAATGGTCCTCTGTATGCTGTTCTCGGTTCCCAGTTTCCTGGAGCTCGATTAGATAACAGACAACTGAACTCTCATCCTGCATCAGGGGACAAAGGGGCACACTACTGAGTGCTACATTCAAAAGGCTCCTCTCCACCAGACTCTGCTCAGCTTCCGGAGCAAAGTCTGTGAGAGGACTCCAGCTTTTTCCATTTGTAGTGGTTCTTTTCCACCTAGAATGCTGCCTGGGGTTGAGCGTCTACCTCAGCTCTCCCATACAAATCCTAGAGCATCAAGCAATACTGCCTACTTCACGGCCATTAAACCTTCGTGTCCAATCTACTCAGATAATCCCAGGCACTCCAGGACTCACAGTGGCCCTAGACATACAAGCTGTACTGCACTAAATTAAAGAATCATGCCTTAAGCATTTTGTTGAGTAAATGAAATTACTAAAATAGAGACATGTTATTCTCACCCAATTTTTAGCTGTTTATTTAACATCATAACATAATTTTGCTTTTCTATACTGTCACTAATTAAAATTTTAAGTCTGAAATTATCATTCTCTTCCCAGATCAGTATTTGAGAAAAACCCTTACCCCTTCCTCCCATCCCAGTGAATTTTATTATCACCATTCATTTACCATGACTCTTCACAAATATCCTATGAAGGTATAGGGTAAACTTGGGGGGAAACACGTTGTCCAGATTCAAGTCCTAACTGATTTGTTTCTTAGATGCATGACATTGGGAAAATTGCTTAATATCTCTATGACTCAGTTTTCTCTCCTAGAAAGCACAGATAATAACTGTTGTGAAGATTAAACAAGATGAAGTATGTAAAGTTCCAGGCACATTGTAGAAGTAAGAAGATAGAGCCCATCTTAGCATGGGTCCATCAGAAAGAAGAATGTTGGCCCCAGTCAACATGCAATGATCACATAATGTAGCAATAAATTGAATGATATGATATGGCTTTGAGATTGCCCCCTTGACAGCAGGTATACTATCAAGAAGTGAAGAAGTATCACTCCAGCACTATACCTGCTGTCAAGGGGGCAATCTCAAAGCTCTTCCAACCTGTCACAGCATTATGTGCAAAGTCCATAAACTTTAGTTGATACTGAGAAGTTTCCACCATTTCTACTGTCAAGCCAGTCAATTCTCAGTTAACAGCAAACAACAGACTACTAGCATTATGTTTTCCATCTTTCCCTCCAAATCTACACATTCAATAGGCACATGATTTTCTTCCCAAGTGACTACAGGCAACATTTGTAACAAATGCTTTGCCTCTGCTTAACAGGGATCTTCATCTTTTCAGCCTTCAATATGTTTCTTTGCCACCCACCAACCTACCATTCTGTCAAACTCACTCGTTTTAGATTTTGTTACTGTATGCCCTACCCACTGTATCAATTTCTGTTTTACTTAGTCAGCATCTGGTTCTGCTGAAGTAACAACCCCCAAAATCTCAATGGCTTAAAGCAACTAGAGCTTATTTATTGCTACATTATGTGATCATTGCAGCCTGGGTCCGTGACGCCCTGGGGGCGGCAGATGAGGCTCACAGGCCTCCCTCACTTCGGGCACCTGTCCTCTCTCGAAACCTTGTCTGTCCTCTGCCAGCATGTCATTGTGTCTCCCCACAGTATTTTGTTGAGTTTTGGGCCCCTCAAACATGGAAATTCAGAGATGGGAGGGACATGGGTACAAGGGGCAGCACTGCACAGGGACCCATGGGGACGAATGACCCATGGCCCACGGAGCCAAAACCTCGACCCTGACCAGTGAAGTTGGCCTACTGGTCCTGGAAAAGGAAAAGGGTCCCTTTTGCTTTGGGGAGACTTCCAGGCCCCCCATAAGGCCTCCAGAGTCAAAGCATCATGTTTCTGCAGCCCTTTCAAACCAGGCTTTGCTCGGACCCTTAGCCCAATTGTTAAAATCTGAGGGCACGTTCCAGCAGGGCACATGGCAATGAGGCCCCAAAGGTTCTCCTAGAGCCAAGGGCGTGGACTCCTCTATTACTAGAAGTTCTTTTTTCTTTTTTTTTCGACAGAGCCATTCTGTCACCCAGGCTGGAGTGCAGTGGCACGATCTCTGCTCACTGCAACCTTGACCTCCCAGGCTCCTCCCACCTCAGCGTCCCAAGTAGCTGGGACCACAGGCACATGCCACCACTCATGGCTGAGTTTTGTGTAAATATATATATATTTTTTATGGAGTCTCAGTTTCATCATGTTGCCCAGGCTGGTCTCAAAGTCCTGGGCTCAAGCTATCCTCCCTCCTCAGCCTCCCCAAGTGTTGGGATTGCAGGCGTGAGCCACTGTACCTGGCTTTAAGAAATTCTAATTCCAGAGCAGACCAGTCGTATTATTCCATAAGCATCAAAAATTACCCAGCATATCATCTTGTTAAAATATCATTTTGTTTTAACCAACTTCAAGTAACAAATCTGCCCAATCATGTTAGTAATTATTAATTAAGTTGATGGCTAAGTCAGTTGGCCTCTCCCTGTGGTAGCATTGCTCCTACTGTAGGGTGCTACCTCAGGAATTCAAAGGGTTCAAATTTCTCAAAGTTGTAAAGCAGAAGCTTTAAACATCCCCCAGAATGTAAGCTTGCTCTAACTTGCTCACCAGGAAAAATTACAGGTTACATCCGTTTGCCCTGCCTCATCATTTTGACTTTATAGAACCTCACAACTCTCCATAACCTTTATCACACGTGCTATTTGTTAGAGATGGTGCCATGTGGCCGGGTGTGGTGGTTCACTCTTATAATCCCAGCACTTTGGGAGGCCAAGGCAGGTGGATCACTTGAGGTCAGGAGTTCGAAACCAGCCAGGCTTGAACCCAGGAGGTGGAGGTTGCAGTGAGCCAAGATTGCGCCACTGCACTCCAGCCTGGATGACAGAGCGAAACTCTGTCTCAAAAATAAACAAAAACAAAAAAAACAAAACAAACAAACAAACAAAAAAAAAAAACAAGAGATGGCGCCACGCTCCTTTAATGGATTAGCTCACATTCCTAATAGGCTTTTGAAGCTCTTTCAGAAAAGACCCTTGAACTGAGCACACACACATGCTGAGTATGGTTCTTTGGGGCTCGTTGTGAATTGATGGCTGTACAGTGATGCTTCACATCCTCCCTTGCCTCACTTCCTGGGTTTCTCATGCTCATCACCTTAGGGTTATACCTCCCAAGCAAAGTATCAGTATTTTAATCCCTGCCTCAAACTTTGCTTTTTAGCAGAGCACCTAGGCTAAGCTAGCCAAGTATAGAATTCTAGGTTGAGGCTGGGCTCAGTGGCTCACGCCTGTAATCTCAGCACTCTGGGAGGCCAAGGCTGACAGATCATGAGGTCAGGAGTTTGAGACCAGCCTGACCAAGGCTGGTGAAACCCGTCTCTACTGAAAACACAAAAATTCGGTCAGCGTCGCTGCTAGTCTCCGGCGGAGACTAGCGCTCTGGAGTTTGAGGTGCCGGGCGGCCACGAGGTGCGGGGATCCTGCGTCCAAACGCGTCTGCAAGTCGAGATGTCGCATCTGTCCCCCCAAGTCAAGCCCTCCAACCCCAGTAACCCTCGAGTCTTCTTTGACGTGGACATAGGAGGGGAGCGAGTTGGTCGAATTGTCTTAGAATTGTTTGCAGATATTGTACCCAAAACTGCGGAAAATTTTCGTGCACTGTGTACAGGAGAAAAAGGCATTGGACCCACGACTGGGAAACCTCTCCATTTCAAAGGATGCCCTTTTCATCGAATTATTAAGAAATTTATGATTCAGGGTGGAGACTTCTCAAATCAGAATGGGACAGGTGGAGAAAGTATTTATGGTGAAAAATTTGAAGATGAAAATTTCCACTATAAGCATGATCGGGAGGGTTTACTGAGCATGGCAAACGCAGGCCGCAACACAAATGGTTCTCAGTTTTTTATCACAACAGTTCCAACTCCTCATTTGGATGGGAAACATGTGGTGTTTGGCCAAGTAATTAAAGGAATAGGAGTGACAAGGATATTGGAAAATGTGGAAGTGAAAGGTGAAAAACCTGCTAAATTGTGCATTATTGCAGAATGTGGAGAATTGAAGGAAGGAGATGACTGGGGAATATTCCCAAAAGATGGCTCTGGCGACAGTCATCCAGATTTCCCTGAGGATGCAGATGTAGATTTAAAAGACGTAGATAAAATTTTATTAATAACAGAAGACTTAAAAAATATTGGAAATACTTTTTTCAAATCCCAGAACTGGGAGATGGCCATTAAAAAATATGCAAAAGTTTTAAGATACGTGGACAGTTCAAAGGCTGTTATTGAGACAGCAGATAGAGCCAAGCTGCAACCTATAGCTTTAAGCTGTGTACTGAATATTGGTGCTTGTAAACTGAAGATGTCAAATTGGCAGGGAGCAATTGACAGTTGTTTGGAGGCTCTTGAAATAGACCCATCAAATACCAAAGCATTGTACCGCAGAGCTCAAGGATGGCAAAGATTAAAAGAATATGATCAAGCATTGGCTGATCTTAAGAAAGCACAGGAGATAGCACCAGAAGATAAAGCTATCCAGGCAGAACTGCTGAAAGTCAAACAACAGATAAAGGCACAGAAAGATAAAGAGAAGGCAGTATATGCAAAAATGTTTGCTTAGAAAGGATTCAGTTTTGCTTATTGTGTGTTGATTGTGTAAATGCAATAAGAAAATGTAAAGGTTTTTGTCTATTAATATGATCCCTAAGGTGTTTCTTTTGACACCTTAGTTCCTCATTGTTTACAGTTTAGGAGTACTGATAGGGGTTCATGCTTAATAAACGTGTCACAATACAGTCAGTAAAGTGGTTTTGTTTGTTTCTTTGAGATGGAGTCTTGCTCTGTCACCCAGGCTGGAGTGCAGTGGCGCGATCTCAGCTCACTGCATCCTCTGCCTCCCGGGTTCAAGTGATTCTCCTGCCTCAGCTTCCCAAGTAGCTGGGATTACAAGCATATGCCACCACACCCAGCTAATTTTTGTATTTTTAGTAGAGACAGGGTTTCACCATATTGGTCACGTCACGCTGGTCTTGAACTCCTGACCTCGTGATCTGCCCCTGCCTTGGCCTCCCAAAGTGCTGGGATTACAGGTGTGAGCCACTGTGCCCGACCAAGTAAAATGTTTTTTAAAATGGTTATCTGCATTATTCATAAAGGATAATGGTGTCCAGTCTTTTTAAACTTGTAAAGACACATCTTATTGAATAAAGAGATGACAGTTTAGTTTGTAAAAAAAAAAAAAAAAGAAAGAAAACACAAAAATTAGCTAGGCATGATGACGGGCACCTGTAATTACAGCTACTCGGGAGGCTGAGGCAGGAGAATTGTTTGAACCTGGGAAGTAGAGGTTGCAGTGAGCTGAGATTGCACCATTGCACTCCAGCCTGGGCAAAAGGGCAAGACTCCATCTTAAAAAAAAGAAGAATTCTAGGTTGAATATAATTTCCAGCAGAACTTTGAATTTCTATGGAACTTCCCATGGACATATGTACATAAACAGATGGCATATCCTTTTTCTCTCAGATGTGGTCCCTGGTCCATGGGCTTTAGTCCATAGACTTCTAGTTTCCAGTGTTGCTGAAACAAATTTGATTCTTGCTACTTTATGGGTTAGCTGTGTTTTGATTTGTTTTGTTTTGCTTTAATATTTCATTTCTGGAGGCTGTTGCAAATTTACTTTAACCTCGATGTTCTAAAATTTTGTAATAATATGTCTAGACATAAATTATTTCAATGTGCTGGCTACTCTGTGGACTCTATCCATATGATGACTTGTACTATTTAGCTCAGATAAAGTATCTTACAATTTCTGACACTTTTCTCTCACGCGCTATTTCTATACTCTCTTTCTGAAATTTCTGTCAGTTGGATGACAGATTTGACTCTTCGTTTCCATGTTTCACTCTTCCCCTTCTTTGTATCTGGTATTTCCATGCCTCTAATTTCTCTGGAATTCTTCAGGGTAGGTAGGCATCTTCCTAAGCCTTATCCCTTCCTCACATACTCCGAAGTTTGATTTCTTTCAACTTAATTCATAATTTACCACTTCTCTATCAATTATCCAGCTTTTAGGAACATGGTCAAAATTTTTATTCCTTGATAGTACTCTTCTATTCTCTTCACACAGGTTATATCATTGTTATTTTTATTTTATTTTTATTCTTTGAGACCGAGTCTCACTCTGTCACCCAGGCTGGAGTACAGTGACGTGATCTCGGTTCACAGCAAACTCCACCTCCTGGGTTCAAGCGATTATTCCTGCCTCAGTCTCCTGAGTAACTGGGATTACATTTGCCCACCACCATGCCCAACTAATTTTTGTATTTTTAGTAGAGACGACATTTCACCATATTGGCCAGGCAGGTCTTGAACTCCTGGCCTCAGGTGATATACCTGCCTCAGCGTCCCAAAGTGCTGGGATTGCTGGCGTGAACCACTGCACCCGGCAACCATAATAATAATGATAATAATAATAATAATAAATGTAAATATATATTATATATACTTTATATATATATATATACAATAATAATTATTATTATTATTATTTGAGACAGAGTCTCACTCTGTCACCCAGGCTGGAGTGCAGTGGCATGATCTCAGCTCACTGCAACCTCCACTTCTCAGGTTCAAGCGATTCTCCTGCCCCAGCCTCCTGAGTAGCTGGGATTGCAGGCGCGAGCCACTATGCCCGTCTAATTTTTTGTATTTTTGGTAGAGACAGAGTTTCACCATGTTGGTCTGGCTGGTCTTGAACTCCTGACCTCGTGATCTCCTCACCTCGGCCTCCCAAAGTGTTGGGATTACAGGCGTGAGCCACTGCGCCCGGCCCCATTATTATTTTTAAAATGCCATTTAAGAGTCTTCAGAGACAGAGAGAGAGAGAAAGAAAATTGCTTAGGATCAATTCATCATCCTGAACTGGAATTGTCTGAATTTTTATGATGTAGTTGAATCTGTGTTTTCCACGTAGCTTGTGGGTTTCAAGACTGCTTAACAGGGCTGTATTTTTCCTATATGTCAGACATGCTTTAGATTCATTCAGCCAGTTTAATATTTACCAAGTGAAGGGTTTATGGTTCGTTGCCATCTCAAAGCAATAAACACCACCTGCAGCCGACCTTCGTCTAGCAGATCAAGACTTCCTCATTTCTGAAAATAACTGAGTTTTTAAATACTATTGAGAAAGCAGAATGTCAAACAGTTGCTTCTTAGTATAATCTGTACTTTTCATTTTCAGCTGAAGATTTAAAAAATTATTTTTAGAAGAATACAACTTTATTTTACTAAGTTTTATTATTTTTCTTAAAAAAGTTTTAACGCCTCAAATAAGATGTATTTTGATTTTCTTTCCCTCCCTTTTTTAAAGCAACCTAGTTCTTTATTTTTATCTTTAAATAAATTGTAAACAAATTTCTACCTTTCTTAGGCACAGTCTACACAAATTCTTTCCTCTTTTCCTCTAAAACGTGGAGGTTCCTGCACTAGAAATGGAAACATACTAATAGTGCTTAAGTCATCTGAGAACACCATGAAATGAGTCATTCTCAATGGCTACACTTTTCTGATACCCTTTAAACTTAGGCAAAAATCCTATTTTGCATAAACATTTAGGCTGGCTTAACTTGAATTAACCCTTTTGTGAATGGACTGCTAACAATATCATTGCCAGATTATAAACTCTAATTAATAGTCTCACTCCTTTAGGTTCTAGCCAGTACAATGACCAGAGAAAAATCTCAGTATACATAGCATTTGTTGAATAAACATGTGAAGTGAATGAATGAATAAATGCAGTACAGTGATGCTCTTAGGTTTTACTGAGGCATATGGAGCTCCTTTTCTCTTACACTAACTGGCCCCGAGCTGCTGTGCTTTTAAGTGTTTGAATCTGCTTTGCAGTGTTTCTTTCTTTGCCCTTCCTTAGGTTCTCAGATGTCACCTGTTATCATTGTGTATGTACCTATCTCTAGAAGTCTTTCTCTCTTAACTTGACACTTCTCATCAACTATGACTTTGGGACCAAGGTGACTAAGCTGGTTATGGCAAGTACACAACTCTGAGTGAATTTCTGACCGACTTCGCCACTGTTTAAATGTACTGTTTGTGGATCTGAGCTCCAATTTGGTTGCCCAGATATTGTCCTCACACACTTACCCACAGTTCATACTTCTATTTCAGATAGTGAGATAGTGAGGTAGCTTATTTCTACACGAATGGAATGACATGCTAGTTATTGGAGTAGAATTGAAATAAACTACCTGTACTTTCTAGATGGTAACACCTTTTATCTGAGCCCAAGAACTTTCACACTTCCAAAACACGTATGTCTCCACATAATTCATGACAATTCAGAGGATATAGTATTTTACTCATAGCAAAGCTAATGTATTATTCAGGGCAATCCCCCAAAAAGGGCTATGTGGTATTAGCACAGATACAATCACCTACAGCTCTCACCCTGAACCCCTCTCTCTCTTTCAACAATTTTTGATACCATTTGCATCAGCGGTTTTGTTATATAACAAACTACTCTGAAGTTAGTGGCTTAAAACAACAATCATTTAATATTTCTCATACATCTACAGGACGTCTGGGTGGTTCTGAGGATGTGAGCTGAACTTACTCATGTATCTGCAGTCATCTGTGGATGACCTGGGTAGTTTTGTTAGTCTTGGGCTCTCTCTCACATATCTGGGGTCTTGGTTGGGACTAGCAGGCTGACTCTGCTCTGCCCCATAGGTTGCACCCTTGAGCAGGCTAGTCTGAGCATTCTGTATGGAAAAGGTAGAGGAGCAAAAGAGAGAAGCATGCCAGGTTTCCTGAGACCTAGACTCTGGAACTCACAAGTCACTTTTGCCACATTCTATTGGTCAGGTCATGTTACGAGAATATCCCAGATACAAGGGATGAGCAAATGGACTCCTCATGATAGAAGGAATTACAAAGTCACACTGCAGAGGATGTGGATCCAGGGAGAGGTAGGAAATAGGAGCCAATTTGCAATCAATTCAAGCATTACTGTTTTTTAAAAACAATAAAAAAAATACACTATTCATTATAATATTCCTTATCTTGTTTTTTCTCTCTATTAATATGGTTACCATTCATTTGTTTTACATTTTCCCCCGATTTCCATCCCCTCACCATTTGATATACAATATCTTAAAGAGGAAACAAATTTCTCAAAATGCGTTTTTATATTTACCAAAAGGAAAGGAAAGTTTTCTGATTATTTTCTATAAAGGAAGGGCAAAAACTCATATTCTTTTTTTTTTTTTTTTTTGAGACGGAGTCTTACTCTGTCGCCCAGGTGGGAGTGCAGTGGCCGGATGTCAGCTCACTGCAAGCTCCGCCTCCCGGGTTTACGCCATTCTCCTGCCTCAGCCTCCTGAGTAGCTGGAACTACAGGCGCCTGCCACCTCGCCCGGCTAGTTTTTTTGTACTTTTTAGTAGAGATGGGGTTTCACCGTGTTCGCCAAGATGGTCTCTATCTCCTGACCTCGTGATCCGCCCATCTCGGCCTCCCAAAGTGCTGGGATTACAGGCTTGAGCCACCGCGCCCGGCCTAAAAACTCATATTCTTAAAGGCTATTTTGCATCTGACTTTCTTTGTGAGTTGAACATGATCAAGCTTGCTGTTGCCTTCGATCTTAGTAAAGCCATAGGCATGTTTGTCCCAACGGACTAAGCACTGGGTAAGGAATGCAGCAGAAAGTTGATAACACAGATGTATGAGTGTGACATTTTAGTCACGAGTGATGCAGAGCCCCAACCTGGAAAACAGGATAATCAGCTGTGCTGATCTCCAATAGCTTGGTCTGGAATAACTCCCATTTTAATAGTGTGCCCTTGTGGTTTTCAGCCAATGCAAGCACATTTGCTATTCCCAGGAGATGTTTAGGTAGCATAATTTTTTTTCTTTTCAATCAACATAAAGATGTATAAGAATTGCCCTGAAATCTCTTGGAAATAACAAAGGTGTTTTCATTCCTTATGCCCTGACTTGCCCTCATCTGATCAGAAAAAGTGATGTTTAGTGTTTTCTATGAGCATAAGTAGGTTAGTGATTTTATTATTACTGAAAAGAGGAAGTGATATTTAGCAATTGAGGGATCTAACATAATGGTAAACTTGGTGATTTCTTTATAATCGAATGTAATTTTAAGATTTATGAAGATCTTTTGAACTTAATTTATTATATAAATCAAGTTTGCTGTCTT